TAGATATACTGGTATATACTGCAATAGAATGCAAATAGATATACTGGTATATACTGCAATAGAATGCAAATAAATATACTGGTATATACTGCAATAAAATGCAAATAGAAAATATACTGGTTCATACTGCGATAGAATGCAAATAGATATACTAGTATACACTGCAATAGAATGCAAATAGATATCCTGGTATATACTGCAATAGAATGTAAATAGATATACTGGTATATACTGCAATATAATGCAAATAGATATACTGGTATATTCTGCGATAGAATTCGAATAGATATACTGGTATATACTGCGATAGAATTCGAATAGATATACTGGTATATACTGCAATATAATACAAATAGATATACAAGTATACACTGGAAAAGAATACAAATAGATATACAAGTATACACTGGAATAGAATACAAATAGATATACAAGTATACACTGGAATAGAATGCAAATAGATATACTGGTATATACTGCAATAGAACACAGATAGATATACTGGTATATACTGCAATAGAATGCAAATAGATATACTGGTATATACTGCAATAGAATGCAAATAGATATACAAGTATACACTGCAATAGAATGCAACTAGATATACTGGTATATACTGCAATAGAATGCAAATAGATATACTGGTATATACTGCAATAGAATGCAAATAGATATACAAGTATACACTGCAATAGAATGCAACTAGATATACTGGTATATACTGCAATAGAATGCAAATAGATATACTGGTATACACTGCAATATAATAAAAATAGATATACAAGTATACACTGGAATAGAATACAAATAGATATACAAGTATACACTGGAATAGAATGCAAATAGATATACTGGTATATGCTGCAATAGAATGCAAATAGATATACTGGTATATACATGTACTATTGCATTGGAACACAATGAGGTTATCATGAGGATATCGCTAAGTATGCACAAAGGCAATACAGTGACCATTGCTATTTCTATAATAATAGTATTTATATGAAGAATGAACAAACCTGGACCTGGCCTGTCATCATATCATCTTCTGATGGTGTTCCACTTATAGTACTGCTACAAGTACTACTTCTATATAAACTATCAGGTGTATCATATCTGAGATGTCTAGCGTAATCAGTGTCAGGACACAGGTGTTGAGTGTACTCTGTTTCACCACACAGTTGTTTGGCATATTCTTTCTGATTATGGCATCTATTGGAAGACATTAATGTATTAAGTGGTCTTCTTTCAACATCTTCTGATAGTCTTCTTATAACTGTTTTTGCACGTCTTTCTATCACCAGTCGTACATGCCCAGGAGCATTCCTTTAATAGAAACACAATATCAGTTAAGTATATAAGTTGACAAAGAAACAATATAAAATATATACAAATATAATTTCACCCTTATTTTGAAAAATAAATTATTTTAATTTTAGTTGTGATAAAGGACAAAGTGAATTAGTGCTGATTTTAACATAGAACACAGAAAATCTGTACATGTACACTAAAATCATCTACACCAGAAGACAAGTCTATGCTTGTACACTAAAATCATCTACACCAGAAGACATGTCTATGCTTGTACACTAAAATCATCTACACCAGAAGACAAGTCTATGTTTGTACACTAAAATCATCTACACCAGAAGACAAGTCTATGCTTGTACACTAAAATCATCTACACCAGAAGACAAGTCTATGCTTGTACACTAAATTCATCTACACCAGAAGACAAGTCTATGCTTGTACACTAAATTCATCTACACCGGAAGACAAGTCTATGCTTGTACACTAAATTCATCTACACCAGAAGACAAGTCTATGCTTGTACACTAAATTCATCTACACCAGAAGACAAGTCTATGTTTGTACACTAAATTCATCTACACCAGAAGACAAGTCTATGCTTGTACACTAAAATCATCTACACCAGAAGACAAGTCTATGCTTGTACACTAAATTCATCTACACCAGAAGACAAGTCTACGCTTGTACACTAAATTCATCTACACCAGAAGACAAGTCTATGTTTGTACACTAAATTCATCTACACCAGAAGACAAGTCTATGCTTGTACACTAAATTCATCTACACCAGAAGACAAGTCTATGCTTGTACACTAAATTCATCTACACCAGAAGACAAGTCTACGCTTGTACACTAAATTCATCTACACCAGAAGACAGTATTCAGTATTGAGCCTTTCATAATGAATATTTCTAGTCACTGTAGTAGTAGTGAACATGTGTAATGAGATACATACTTGACAATTCCAATGATATCTGTACATGGAGATCTTTCAACGTGATGTTTGTTGATCCTAATGATGACATCACCCATCTGTAATCCTACTTTCTCTGATGGACCACCTGTACAGGAAATTAATAAAATCAAAAACGTACAGTATTGATAATAAGAGGAAGCTGTGCTAATCTGCACAGGCACGATTTTACGATCAAATTAAAAACACTGACAGCCAAAACAATACGAGATTTGCATATGGTTTTGATGTAATTTTTGTAGTATTATTATCACAGACACAATAAAAACAACAAATAAATGACCACCATGTTTTTTGCTTGACAGATAATGCTTTGTGGATGACCGAATGTAATATTAAAATTACATGTTTTATGCAAAATAGATAAAACAACAGCAGCAGGAATATGGCAGCGGCTGTTTAGAGCAATAATGCTTCTGCATAAAATCATTATTTATCCTGCCAAATTTGTACAAACTTCTGCACTAGTTTTATGTATTTTTCTATAATTATCAAATATCAACAAATGGACAATATTTTTCATTACCTAGAGATCTTGATAAAATTTTGCAAATGGTGACAGAGTACCAAGAGTTGAAGGTTAAAGGTTAAATAACCAGAAAATGATAATATTATATAACACATTTATCATTTATATTAATTTTAACAATTATGATGCTGTCTACAAAACTGCATCAATTCCCAAATTAGACAGATTTTTGAGAAAACGTGGGGAAAAGTTGGTTAGCATAGAGGAAAGTAAAGCTTTAAATGTGAAAAAAACATTGTGTTATCTCGCCAGTGATTAGTGAAAGCAAACTTCGGTTTATGCAGCCTTGGCAAGATGGAAAATAAAAATAACGCAATTGACCACCAGTTTCCAAGTTACACGTAGTCAGTATTCATTCTCAAAAAAATAACTGTGCACAATGCAAATTTTATTTGTTGTTATATTTCCTTTCTTGACTCAATGTTGTAAAACAGTATATTCATCCAAAATCCCTTTCCCCATTTACACGACATAGTCAACACTGGTTGAAAACGCATATGACAAATGATGAAGTTACCGGTAAATTTATACCATATCAGCTCAAATATTTCAATATTTCACAAATGTGGATGAGATGTGATAATACATATCATATTTAATTAAAGAGATTTTTCTATGGTCAAAATGGTATATAGTCAAAGTGATTTCTGGTTTGTATGCACTTCTAATACAACAATTACGGTAAAAATGGCACACATGTGGTCATAAACTGCACCAGTTTATTATGTTTGTTTTTATTCTAACAATGGATCACATTTCTTTGTCATTAGTTTGTTTTAAAAAAAGCTGACCTGGTTGGCCGATTGACTGAGCCAGCAAAGTAATAGCAGGATAATAAGCAATAATGTAAGTAAATTGTATTAACAGATTCTTACCTGAATCTACTTTGCCAACTCTGACAGGTGTAGTATCCAATATAGTAAAACCATAACCGTGTTTGCCTTGTACAACTGTCATCTGTAACATCAAGTTATCATGTTTACTACCATTTCTCAAATACCTAATGTTTACTACCATTTCTCACATTATGTTTACTACCATTTCTCACATCATGTTTACTACCACCATTTCTCACATCATGTTTACTATCACCATTTCTCACATCATGTTTACTACCATTTCTCACATCATGTTTACTACCACCATTTCTCACATCATGTTTACTATCACCATTTCTCACATCATGTTTACTACCATTTCTCACATCATGTTTACTACCACCATTTCTCACATCATGTTTACTACCACCATTTCTCACATCATGTTTACTACCATCATTTCTCACATCATGTTTACTACCACCATTTCTCACATCATGTTTACTACCACCATTTCTCACATCATGTTTACTACCATTTCTCACATCATGTTTACTACCACCATTTCTCACATCATGTTTACTACCACCATTTCTCACATCATGTTTACTACCATTTCTCACATCATGTTTACTACCACCATTTCTCACATCATGTTTACTACTACCATTTCTCACATCATGTTTACTACCACCATTTCTCACATCATGTTTACTACCATCTCACATCATGTTTACTACCACCATTTCTCACATCATGTTTACTACCATCTCACATCATGTTTACTACCACCATTTCTCACATCATGTTTACTACCATTCAAGCGATACTAAACTTGATATGCTGTACCATAGATAGTCAGCAGTATTGTCAATATACTCAATGACAAATTGAAAATTTTTGACTTTCAAATTTATATAAACAAACTTACCACTTTTTTAATGATTCTGACTGGTTGCTGTTTCTTTTTTACTTCTAGAAGAATGGAATTATGAGATGATGTTACCACCAGATATCACCCTAAAGCTAAAGCAAGTTTACGAAATTTCTCAGACGTACACCTTTACTGGTGTAATCTCTAAAAGAACATCTCAAGACATGGTTCAGTTAATTTGGAAGCTATAAATGTCTTTAATAATTACATGATGAAAGACAAAATAATACTTGACAATTAGGATTTGAATACCTTTCATAATTACAACTTCAATAGAAACAGCGCCCTCTATCATCTAGTAAAATAGTGCTATTTGAGATGTTAAAAGGCAGACTGACTGGGGATCTTTTGAGAAGGTTTGTATATTTTGTATATTTAGTTAGATGTACAAGCATCATATATCTTTATCTTGACCAAATTGATTTGTAAGCTGACTTAAAATGAAATATAAATGTATTTCATTTTAAGCTTACAAACTATAGGAAGATTCATGTTTGTAAATTATAGAGGGCGCAATTGATACAGCACAACATAATTCATTGTTCAGATAAAATATTAAATAAAATTTCTACTGCTGTCCTAATAGACAAATTTCAAGTTACAGTATTATCAGTTGATTTCCGTGCGAGAAAGACAGGGTTGATTTCCTGTTTGCATAATTTATTCACTGGTTTCCCGTTGTTCTGATAATCTATCGAACATTTACACAGTGAAATAAACCCCCTACACAGAAGAAATAACAATGTTTTTCACAAGAGCGTGCATGTCTGAGGTAAATTGTCTATTATATGGGATTGAAAACCTAGACTAATCAAGCACCATGATGAGTACATACCTTTACTGAGTTTAGGTCTCTTGTAAGGAACTCCTAAATGTTTCTTCACACCTAATTCTTGATTCAGTAAATAATACCAACCATCTATCAACTAAAATATAAGAAATTAGTAAAATGACTTATAGGGGCATACAACTTTGATATCTATATTATGCAAAGAGTAAATATGCAAGCAAATCAAACTTATTTCTGACCAATGGCAAATCACAGAAAAGTACTGGTAAACAGTCATTGCCCTAAACAACATCATCATGTGGCTATCATTTTGTATATGAAAAGACATGCATATTGCATCTAAGCGATGACAAATTTTAACACTTTACCAGTCACTGCATTATTAAAAAATGTTTGTAATCATCTCACAATTCATGTGACTTCAAATGAGATTTTCATCATATATTAACCTAGTTGTAAGCCCTTATATTATAAACCCTTGAGAAATACATTGTATACTACTACAGCAAGATGTTTACACTATATATGGTAGAAGCCTACTCATAATTTTTGAGAAAATTGGTTATAAACCGTGTGACAAAATGTTTATTGGTTTAATATGTACATTCATGGAGCTTTGTCCCATGACATAATAATGACAGTAATAAACACCTTGAGATTACCAATATATAATTTTTTCAGCTTATGTCATCAGCCTACAATTTAAGATATGGTATAGGAACTCATAAAGAAAATAATACCAGTACTGCCAAAATGAGAATTATCCATTAAAATAAAACAATCATTTTTCTGAAAGTTAGGCTAGTAACTGCAAACATTTTGTAAATCAATGTTGACCTGGAGTACATTTTATTGCAAAATGAATAAATTCTGGGTATTTTCATTCAGGAGTAGGCTTCTACCTTAGGATCAGATTTTTCAGCAAAGAAAGTTATTTTTACCACTGTAACATTTGAATGTAAGAGAATGTAATGAAATCTATCTACCTTTGTTCCTTTTATCAGATGCTTTGCACCAAATGACATGCAACCCATCAAATCATTTCTGATGGTGAAAAAAACAAAAAAACTTAGTATTTCCATGAAATCAGATAAATAGTATTGCCATGTATCACATAATATAAAGAAGTTAGCACATTTGGGTACAGTATTGAATGCAGAAAATAAAAAAAAACAAATTTCCAGATAGAGAAAATAATGTTTATTGTTGGCATTGTTGAGTACCTTTGATCAAATAAATCATTGTTCTTAAGAAACTGTTTAGAATATGAAGATTAACAATTAAATGATTACTATTGACATTCTGTTGATACAGAGTAATTTGGGTTGTCAAAAGTTGCAAGGTTGAACTTTGAGGGCACTATCACACATGAAACCAACCAATATACAGTCTTAATCTAATAAACTCATGCACAAATCAAATCAAGGAGGAAATCTAACAAGTTATTCCTGTTAATGTAATTACTTCCACAATCCACTTGTAAATCAATGCCAGTGCTGATTGACATACACAATTCTGCTAATCAAAGTCAACTGTTTTATTATGGAGAAATATTAGAATAAGTTCTCGATACATATATATTATTGGTATACTGGTGTGAAATCAAAATTCCCTGTAATATTATCTCAAATGTTTTTGACTGTACTAAAGACATTCAAATGAAAAAAGTAAAAACATATTTATGACAATAAATACTTACAATGTACTGCTCTGTCGATAGAGAGAAATAACTATTCTGTCAAGTAGATCAAGATGAAGAAAACTTCTACAAAAAATATATATATATATTATGTCATTCAAGTTTTCCAAATCTTAAATCTAAAAAAACAACTTGTTGACTAGTTATGAAATAAAAATCGCCAGCAGGAGATGGTTTTTGAAAGTTACTGTTTTGGAATTTTAGAAACTGTGGTTATTTGCATCAATCCCTCATATTACATCTATAAGAGATTTTACCTAGGTACACTATGTTTTACAGCGGTTCTGAGAATTATTCCTACAGTAAATCAGCAAGATGCTTGGCAAATTGCATGTTGTTTGTTTTGTTGAAGACTTGACAGCACCACTTTATTGACATGCATACTGCCTGTGATTTACTTCTTTGAAGGGGTGGTTAACATAATGATTCACAAAGATTATTCAGTGTTTGTGACAATTCTTCATTTATTGTGAATATTTTGAGTAATACTGATATTGATGACAGCAGACAAATTAGTTTCCCCTCACTCAGCAGTATTTGGTATAAAACGCAAACTTATCAGAAATGCATGATCCATTTTTAACTGACGTTTTCGGTAAATTATTAACCAACTCGCTCAGATATTATTTTCAGTTATGAACAATGTGCCAGAGCATTATTCTGGCTAAATAGGAATTTCCAAAATTAGTGATACCACTCTCCTCATCAGAAATGAAAATTATTTATTTATGAAGTTTATTTATGTAAAATACAAACATGTAAAATATGTATAACAAGCTAAAAACAAAAAATGTGTTCGAATGACGCTGCTTATGTAAAAAATCTGATATGATAAAGGGTATTTAAAGAGTATTTTATTTTGAGAGCATTGGAGGGTAAATTACCTTCAAGGACAAAGAAATCCTCCTAACTCATTAAGTGTTTATAAATCTAGCTGAATATAGAATGACCACTAAAATTCATAACCTGCAGTTAATTCAACATTTTATGATGTATATATTGGTCAGTGGGATACTCACAAAAAATAGGAATGCAACTATTAATTAAGAAAATAATATTTTTCAAAACATAAAAAAATTACACTTACAGAGGAAATATTTCCTGGAAATGGGGAGTCGCGTCAGTGACAACTCTCGTCGCCATGCTGTCTTTTTTACCATGAGGTGCAACTATGACAACCTGAAAATCATAAACACAAATATTTGGTCTTAAACAGGACTAAAATACAATTTTGTGATTAGTGAAAGCATATTTGTATGTATCTTGATAGCATACATTGTACATCCTGGTATATATGCATGCAAAATAATCTTTATTGTAACTCACTTTTGATTACAAATAATTTCTCCTGCATTTTGCACATTTTTCTATATTTTTCTATAAATTATTTGGACCATTACACATAACTTTCAATTAGCTACAGGTAAAACTTATGCAGGTTTTATGTATGAAAAGCAGCAAAAACTGACTTAGGCGGTCAAAGTCCTTAACTTACTGTGACATAACAACCATCAGTGTACCCTGGTATGTGAGAAATACCCCTTGCTTTGATAACTGAAATATAAAATGATGCATGTATTCATTAATCTTCTCATATAATTGGCTGGTAATTATCAGATTTTACTTTCTAATGCAAGTGATCACTCTACTGTCCTATCATTTGCACAAGTTAAAACTACATGTGTAAGAAGAATCGATATCATTTTAAGAAGCACAGCTCTTCTTATCAATCACATTACCATGTACAGAACAGCCATTTTTAGCTTACGACCATTTTCAAAAATTAAAGCCAGAAACCGTGTATGCACAATGAGCTTACGTAAATGTCATAAAGTCATATTTTAATAATTTAGGATAAAAGAAATGTATATGTGCTGATACTGAAGAAGTGATGTGATTATTTTAAATTTCACAAAATTTTATCAGCACATATCAACAGAATATTTTACTCATTATCATGTCAGCTGTACAGGGTACATTGTATTTGAAATGTCTGGCAACATGTCTAACACACTGTCACTGTAATCATGTGTATATTTACATTCACATGTTTAAAAGATATAGGAAAATGCACTTACTATTAACCATTAAATGTCTTCTTGTTCTGTAAATTGACAACTTTAATTGCCCTGTTATAAAACATGAAATACAATATTAAATTAAAATACAGTAAAACAAAATATAGAAAAACATAACAACAATGATTGAATTTCATCTCATATCATGAAGCAGTATTCACATTATTACTATAAATAAATTATTCTAATATCTGTTAACTATGGACAAACTGGACATATTATTGCAAATACTTCTAGTCTTGATCAAATTTTCTGCGTGTAAGATCCTCCTTCAATTTACAATAATTAATCGTTATATGTTTCAGGAAATATTTTTTGCTGACTCGCAAAATTGTACTCCCAAGTTTTGTTCACAATCTTCTTACAATGTCTTGGTTAAAGTGATAGGAATGATTACCAGTATGTGACTACAAGACTTAGATTAAGCAACATACAGCCCAAGGCACAGAGACTATAAAATCTTGTGTCAGCACTAGCATTTTCCAAAATTAGTAGCCCAATTAAAAATGTCTTTCCACTAATTAACTGATTATGGGTGTTCCTCCAGAAAGTGAACTGGTTGGTAGGCATGGATTCAAGTACCAAACCAATGACGGACTACACAACATGATTGTCTGGCTAACAGCTTCTGAAATTGTTAGGTTAAAATAATCAGGATCTCAAGAAAAAATTTCAATTTAAGTTCTGCACCCCTAGGACTTGACATTAACTTTCAATCTTGCTCAAGAAAATGTATGTTGCCTTTATATCTCCTATAGCATGTTACATGTAGGTGAATTACAATTCAGTTGTCTGAATGACAACTTGTCCCGAGTAAAGGACAATCCTTAGTGCCAATTCTTTGACCCATAAGATAAGTACATACATGTGCATGTACTGATTTGTCACATTCTAATTGTAGTGAAATCTAGACCAATTGAATGCTTCTCTAGAGCCAGTATCTTGAGGTCAAATGTCAGGGTTATTAGCTCTCCCAGAGATTTGAAAGACAAACAATGATAAATTCATGAGAGGACCACTTGTTGACTTCGGTTACTACCTTTATTTACCGTGTAAGCAGTGATCCATAGCATACACGCGCATACACGTGTCTCATCTTTCACAGTGGTTACAAGTTTGTACGTAGTATGTATCACTAATTAAATTACCAAATGTTTTTATACATCTCTACCCTGGATTAAAAATAATTAGTTGTAGCACAAACACAGCATATAAAGTTTATACAATTTTGCAACATACATTTGTAGTTATTATAAAACTAGAAATGGTTTATTTAAAGTGTGTGGACATTAATGGATTTCAGGCTACATGGCATAGACATGAGGGGCAGAATTCAGCAAAACTGAACACATCAGGAAAAAAAAACACATTTATTTGTGATTTGTGGAGTTAGTTGTGAAGTCTATATAATAGCTATGCTTGCAGGTTAGCACCTGTTTACTAAGTAATCACTGATGTACTGTGTACAAACATAAACAATGTCCAGTAAAACCGCTCATGTGTATCATTGGTACTGACTGGTTGTCTACAATAGGGTCAGACAGACTAATAAGGTTAAGCTAATATTAACTGAACTAACACTTTGAATTCTGAAGAAACGTTTTACTTCCTTATTATTATTATTAGATATAATTTGAATATGAGCCATTCACCATACACATGTATGTATATATTTTAATTATTCATTAAAAGCCTTATTGCAGTATCGGTAATTATATACATTATCAATTAATAGCCCAGACCCTACATGTACATGTACGACCAAACAAGCAATCATTATTTACCTGGTGTGTAGACTTGAGGCTCTGGGAAATCCTGTATTGGCAGCTGATTAAATCTGCCAGTCTTTCGTCTTTTGTGTACAGGGGGAGTTTCCAAAGCCATTGCTTCAAAACCATGAGTCAATGATTGAGTCCGCAGCTCAATAGAACGTCTTTTGTGTCCTCGGGTACTTGTGTGGCAGTGAGCCCTTTGTGTCATCCTTCTTTATTCAGCTTTGTAACTCAGTGGGCGCAAGTAATTAGAAGCAACCAAATTCTGGAGCTCCTCTAAGAATTGTAATCAAACTAAAAAAAGAAACATAATATTCCGATCAGGTATAATAAATATAACAACGTAACCCTGGCAATAAATAATTCGTGAATATTTTAGTTTCACAGAATTCTATATTTTTTCAAATGGTGATCACTTTGCAAGAAACATTACTGAGGTACATGTATAGCTATAACTGGTTTATTTTGAGGGGAGGGACTAATTATTTGCACATCAGATACACTTTCTTGCATATCTGCACACATTGCATTACTTTTTATTAATTCTGATCTTGATGGTAATTCTGATTCTGATGGTTATGTCGCTAAACAACAATTTGCATAGTAATAGTATTTAGAGTTCGTAGAACAAAAACAAGTTTTTGACAGATGCGAGTGATTTACAAATGGTTAATATCGGGTATTTCTGAAACAGAAACTTTTTCAGTTCTGTGTTTTGATGAATACAATTTGTAAACGTGAAATTATTCGTCTACATGGTGGCGTGTTATAAAGTCAGGCTATCTTCCTTCACACGTGAGTTCTATCTGTCGGATGATCAAAGGAACGACGTACAATCACGACGTCCAGCCTTGACCGATTCCAAGTACGATTGATTTAAAAAAAGAGAAGAAAAAGAAAGAAAAAAACACGTTTATATGAGGACGCAGAAGCCTTTCGACATTAAAAAATTTAGACATGTAACGGAATGTTAGTATTTCTGTTCGCGTTGATTGCCGTTGGATAAAACGTAAACAAACAAAACGTGAACGATGTGTGAACGGCATCGCATGGAAGCTTTGTTTTGATGTACTTCTTCGGAAGAACACAACGCGTAGCCCTGATCTTGGATACAAATGTTGCTGGTGGTTAGTTAATTCGAGTAACGCAATACTTACAGCTGTTAGTCGTCTTTTCACAAGGCTTGCAATTTTTTTAAGCTTAGCGATGAATTCACGTTTCATAATACCCCGCCATCATTGTTATAATTAACAAAAGACTGGAACAAGAGGTCGTTGGTTCGTAACTACTTCCGGTATTTTCTCCATAGAGAAAGTGACTGACGACGCTCTGTATCTCTGAAATTTAGAGAACTGGAAGTGGGATGTGATATATCGACTATTAGTCGAAGTACTTCGATATACGATCATATTTTCGCTAGGTATGTGACTTTAGAGCTAAACAAACTCGAAATTACGGACAACCGACCTGAGTTCTCTAGAGAAAACCTGAGTGTTTGGGGGGAAAATAGTGATCACCAGTATAAGAGTTAGAAATTTTATTTGGAGCACATGTGAATGTCGGCAAGCTTCTCGTAAACTTGTTTCATTCCATGTTTCTGTGTAATACAAGTAAAAAAAAGGTTAAAAAAAAGGTTAGGGACTGACCAATAGACCAATAGAATGTATTCTGGAGGGGTGCCCAAAAATCTGCACACAGAAGACCCCCCCCCCCCCGAAACAATTAACGTATAAAGCCACATCAACACGACGAAACAATCAAGTTAAAAACTTATGAAGGGTACAAAAAAAATCACCTCCCATAATTTCTAATGGTCAACCTGTTATCATTTGAATAGTTGGTGCCTGGATGCATTCGTGATCTACAAATGTAACAATGTTTTTACTATAAGGGTTTACCATTAGGAAATTTTGAGTAGGTTTAAAAAAAAAATATCAAACATTCCACAGGAAAAATTACAGAAAAAAAATTATTGAGAAACAAAAATTACAAAATCATTACCCTTGCTAATGAATCTAACTCAAAATCACCTGAAGGAACTAAATTTTTGGTTTACTTGTTCTACCATTCCATTAAAGCAACTGGGAGTTGTCACCTACACAATTTTGCATCAGATGGCCATATTGTATCATTATTTACAAACAAGCATCTACCCATGAGCCTTTGCCTTTTTAGTGTGTGTTGTTTAATCATCGCTTGGGACTCAATTCCCGCGTGTGCACAGTTGATGACCATCTGGCTTTAATAGTAACTTAATACATGTAAAAAAAGTAGCCTTATAAAATTTTGCATTGACCACTGTACATGTTGTTCAATGCAGTCCAGACTGTATATTGCAGAAAGCATATCAGAATTCAAAACATATAGCTCCATGGGACTGAAAGTGAAATGCAGGTCTTTTCTAATTAATCTTGATCAATATGACAGAGTACTGTGTAAAATACTTTATTTTCGCTTTGAATTAATTTTGGCTATTTTCGCT